GCAATTTACGTTTTATTCAAATAGGCATCTATCATGGTCCAGACTGGATATGATTTGGATCTCAACAGATTTAATGTCTAGTATTCAAGAAGTAAATATTGAAACAAGTACTTGGGCTGACCACAACCCATTGACAATTAAATGGAAGGGACAAAGGAAAAGATCGAGATGGACATTAAATAATACTATTTTAAAGGATAAGGAATTTATGCAATGGATGGAGAAAGAATTGCCCTTTTTCTTTAAAGAGAATAGAAAAGAAGACACTTCAATACAGAATGTTTGGGACACAATGAAGGCTTATGCTAGAGGCTTGATAATAGACTATACAAGAAAAAAGAATATTAGGAAAAGGCAAACTCTTAAAGCCTTGGATGATGAATATAAAAGACTTGAAAAAGAATTACAGAAAATACCACACAGAAAAGATGTCAAACTGAAACTGGATATAACTAAACATAAAATGGACTTAATAGAGAAAGAAGAACTGGCACAGAAAATTAGGAATGCTAAACAGAATTATTTTGAGGATGCAAATAAGCCAGGTAGATGACTAGCATACAAACTGAGAAAGGAGAAAGAATCGAGGAAAATACTGCAGTTAATAGATGACCAAGGTAAAACTTGTCATGGCAGTAAAGAGAAAAAAGAAATTATTTATGATTTTTACAAACATTTGTATAAGAAAGAAGATATTGATGAGGAGAAAGTTAAACAATACCTGCAGAATGTAAATCTACCTAAGATACCTAAAGAGATTGAAGAAATGCTAGAAAGCAATATAACAATGATGGAGTTAAGCCAAGCACTTAAGAAACAAAATAATGGAAAGGCACCAGGTCCAGATGGATTTCCTGTAGAATTTTATAAAACCTTTCAAGAATTATTGTGTATTCCACTGTTAGAAGTTATGAATGAAGTTATGGTAAAAAAGATAATTCCTAAAACATGGTCAGAGGCTTGTATTACACTTATTCCAAAAGAGGAGGCGGATCTACTTCAAATCAAGAATTATAGACCGATTTCCTTATTAAATGCAGATTATAAAATTTTTGCTTCAATATTAGCAGAAAGACTTATAAAGTATTTGAATAACTTTATTCACCCAGATCAAAATGGGTTTCTGCCAAAGCGACAAATTAGAGATAATATGAGAGTAATTTTGGACACCTTGGAATATTATGAGGCACACCCTGAAAAGCAAATGGCTTTGATATTTTTAGATGCTCAAAAGGCATTTGATAATGTAAATTGGAGGTTTATGGTACTTTTAATGGAACAGATGGGCTTTGCTAGAAGATTTATTCAAGCAATAGAAGCAATTTATAATGAACAAACAGCCAAGGTAATGATGGAGGGAGAATTTACAGATTCTATTAATATAAGAAAAGGTACAAGACAAGGTTGTCCTCTTTCGCCTTTGTTATTTGTATTGACTTTGGAAGTGTTGAATAGAAATATCAGAGAAGATAAAACTATAAAAGGAATGAAAATCAAAAAGGAAGAATTCAAACTACAAGCTTTTGCAGATGACCTAGTCTTCATCCTGGAAGATCCTATAGAAACAGCCTCGAAGCTGTTGGAAAAGATAGAGGCCTATGGGGAGGTGGCTGGTTTGAAAATAAATAAAGATAAAACAAAGATTTTGTCAAAGAATATGTTGCTGAAACAAAGAGAAGAGCTGGCAGAACTCTTAAAAATTCAAGTTACAAATAAGGTTAAGTATTTGGGGATATACTTGACGTCAAGATGTAGTACATTGAAGGAGAACAACTATATTAAACTTAAACAACAGATAGCCCAAGATTTGAAAAAAATGGGAAAACTTACAACTGTCATTAATAGGAAGGATTTCAACAATTAAGATGAACATTTTACCCAGAATCTTATTTTTGTTTCAAACAATACCAATTAGGCTTGGAAAAGAATACTTTGAGGATTTAAATAAAATTGTTTTGAAGTATATATGGCAAGGCAAGAAAGCAAGAATAAAGTTAAAGCTTTTACAGGATGCTAGATTTAGAGGAGGGTTTGGTCTGCCTAATTGGGAGTTGTACTACCAAGCTGCAAACTTGACGTGGGTTAAAGAATGGATAACATTAAGGAAAACTAGATTGTTGACATTAGAAGGTCATGATTTGCTGTTGGGCTGGCATGCTTTTTTATGGTACAAGGGAACCAAAACACAGGGGTATTTTAGAAGACATTATATACGGGAGTCTCTGTGGTTAAATTGGGAGAAGACAAAAAAACAGTGTTATTTGAAAACTCCAGTTTGGTTATCAACGATAGAAGCGTTCTCTTATCCTATAATCTATAAAAAGGAACAAACAGTTAGCTATGGGGAATTACTAGATGAAAAGGGTGAACTTAAATCGATGCAAAAACTAGAAGAACAAGGTATACAGATGAATTGGTTTTCATATCTGCAAATACATTCAAAGTACTATGAGGATTCCAAAGCAGAGGGATTTTATGATAAGCAAACTGATTTAGATAAGATTTTGATGGGTACTGATGAAAAGATGATTAAAAAGCTGTATGGTTATTTATTGGAAATTAAGCTGGAGGAAGAACAAGTTAAAGAAACTATGATTGCGTGGGGGAGGAATTTTGGATATGGGATTGATTTAGAGAAATGGCAGAAATTATGGTTGCAAAATTATAAAATGACAATGTCTACAGCCTATAAAGAAAACTTGTATAAGATGTTTTACAGGTGGCATTTCCCCCCGACAAGGATAGCAAGAATGTTCAAGAACAAATCCGAAAAATGTTGGAAGTGTCATCAGAAACCTGGTTCATACTACCATATGTGGTGGACTTGTGAGGATGCTAGAAAATATTGGACTAAAATCCACATGTGGCTGGAAAAAATGACAAAGAAGCATATAGACTTGAAACCGGAGTTTTTTTTATTGGGAATCCTACCAGATACTTATAGTAAAGAGTTGAAATATTTGATTGTAAATGTATTGACTGCTGCTAGGATTGTATTTGCAAAAAATTGGAAAAATGAGAAAATTCCATTGCAAGAAGAAGTTGTAAAGAAAATATTGGAATGTGCTGAGATGAGTAGATTGACTTTTGAAATTAGAGAGCAAGAAGATAAACAATTTTATATAGTTTGGGATCTCTTCTATCAATGGTTGAATGATGAAATACTAAAATATAAAGGTTAGACAATAAGAAATAATATTGATTTTATTTTCCTTTTCTTTTTATTGGTGTTTGATACTATATTTATATAATAGTTTTCTGTTTCCTTTTTTTTTCTTTCCTATTTAGGATAGAATTGGCATGATTATAAGATTTGTTTTAGAATAAATTATTTAAAATATAGTTATCTCATAAAGGCATGATCGAATAAAAGTTTAGTCAAATTTCTTTTTTTTTTTAATAGTGATACTATGATTTATAAATTTGTATTGATAATAAGAGTACTATATAAGGTAATTGTAATTGTGACTATGAGATGAATGCACAAAACTGATGGACCAACCGACTTACTGTTTGTATAAAAATATGGGGGAGCTGATGCTTTTATGTTTTGTTGTTGTGTTTGTATGTTAAAAAACAATAAAAAATTTATATATATAAAAAAAGAATCAACGGAATTATATATGTATCCATGTATTCATAACTATGTTTTTACTTATACCTATTATTTTGTAAACAATTGACAAAAATAAATAAATAAAAATAAATTCAAGGGAGGTTGGGCATAGTTTACTTGTGGCTATATACGGATTCTAGGCTTATCCTACTTTTAACTCCACCCCCAGATTTTGCCACTCTTGTTCCTTCAGAAAGGCCCACCAACAAACAAGCAACTGTCCCAGGAAGCTGTGGGTAAGTGTCATGGAGAATTGTTCCTTTCATTGACCTTTTAGAAAAGAGGGTATACGATCAAGAATGAATCATCTTCCTATTCACAGTACAGATGATTGTGCTCCTTGTTTTTCCCAGTAACAATTCTTTAGTGTTTAATTTATTATCATAACTATTATTACTATTAAAATGTCACAACAGTGACAGAAACCACTGCCCTGTCACTAGAGATTTTGATTAACACCCAGCTATGTTTGACATCAAAAGAACAAGTCAATGTGAATAATACCTTCAAAATAGGAAGGATCCTTATACACTTCATTGAATTCAGCATTATCTGTCCTAAATGGACTTTCTTTCTCATCCTGCCACCCTCCAAAGATGGTGAATGACAACTTCCTGTTTTTGGCTACTTAGCAATGAAATTTTATGAGTTGTAATTCAATAAATTTAGAGGTTACAGAAGGATGATCTGTGGTTACTGGGGATTTATAGGAATTGAAATCCACATATCTTCAAGTGGCCAAGTTTGAGAAATACTCAGTAGCTTTTGAGGGGTTCAAGCAGTTACAGACTGCCTCTGGGGAACTTCTGTAAACAAATAATATGCTCTTTCTTGCTGATTTAAGGAATGTTCCTATCCTCAAAGGGGCTTGTGGATAAAAGTTAACAATCTCTACAATTGCTAGAAATCATGAACAGGCGGTGAAAGAGGGTGATAAAGGTGTCTGTGCATTTTGTGTGTGTATTTGTGTGCACAAGAGAGAGAGAAAGAGAGAAAGAAAAACGGGATTTAGAATGTTTTACACTTACAACACCCCAGCTTTTTGAACTGAAAAGATTTGCCAGCAAACTTTTCCCCTCATTCCTAATCTTAACTAAAAACCTGAGAAACGGATCATTTCTCCCCATGGTTTCATTTTTTTGCCCCTTCATATTGCACAGGTATATGAAGTTGCTTGGATATAGATAGCTGGATTGTAATTATCATAGCAGAATAATGGTTTGGGGGAATCTTACTCTGAATCAACAGAGTCTTTGCCATCCATCATATCCTGAGCAAAGTGTCCAAAAGAGAGCAAGGGAGGAGTGAAAGGAGGGGACAAGGCTGCTTTGGAAAGGAGGAATAGGTGAGGCTCAAATCATGGTAAAAACAGAAGCATCCGTACCTCCTGTTTCTTCTCCGACAGGGCACCATGGCTATGGCGACCATTCTGGGCACTGCCCTTGTGCCCATTTTGATGAGGCGTGGCTGATCGGCTGTGGCCAGTGCAAGAGGAGGATGGGCTGTGGCTGGATCTGTGGCTGCTGGCCCTTTGACCATCCTCTCTGTATTTGGGGCTCAATCTGTAGACAGAAGGGAAGGCAAAGGAACTGTCTATCCTTGTAAGTCATACTGAAGGCAGATAGCAGAAGGAAGGCTGCTGCTTATCACAAGTCGGGGATGCACAATGTGGCTTTTGTGGTTGGGCTGTGATTTTTCTTTTTCCTCTGAGTACACATGTGTGAGGGGATGGGTTTGGGATTTAAAAAAAATCAACTGCATTAATCTTATTTTGGAGTTTATGCTTTTTATATATTACCTTTCTCAGCTGATGGAAAGCCTCATTGCTCTTATTAAATCAGAGTTACAAGCCACTCCACAGGTTGCCAAAAGGGGGTGGGGGAGAATATTTGGAGGAGTCTGCATGCCAGCCTAGGTCTTCCACTGCCTACCCCTGAATCAGAGGAAGCCTACTTGTGGAAAAGCTGTACAGAAAATAGTACATTATTCTCCGTACCATGGTATTTAAGGCCAGTTTTCTCAGTCTAATGTCTTCCTTATATGGGAATTACTGCATTAGGTATTATCTTCAAACAGCCACATTTACAAGATTTCAATCCGGTGCTCTCCTAATTGCTGACACACTTTTACCAAATAATGTTAATTTTATAGCTCAGCACTCTAACTGAACAGCACCCATATTTTAATTCAACGTTGCAGAACAGTTTGTGTCAAATTTCATTTCCAGTTCTTTAGACATATGTGTTCTGGTACAGATTTAGTTAAAGTTAGGAAGGATTTTCAGGGTCTGCCTTGAATAAAATGAACTCTATTTAGTAGCATTCCTCTTTCATGCTCCTGCCCTTTAAAAGAAAACTGGAAGGAAAAAAAACCTGGGTCATCGAGCAGACTCAGAACCATAGCAATGTGTGAACCTACTGCAATGTTGAGTTTTTGTATTCTTTGCTACCATTTTTAGTTTTTATTGTGCATCGCCTTGAATTATTTGAGGATTAGACAGCCTTAGAAATTGACTAAATGAAATCATAAATAATATAGTATGTCCACTAAAAATGTGCCATATCAGACTCAACCACAGCTTACCTGCCTGTGGATTTGCAGTCACTGTATTCCGAGGAAATGGAAAGGCTCCGAGAACTACAACTGCTATGTCTGTGGGAGCGACGAGGAGACAGTTCACTGTGAGATCTGTAAGAAGGCAGTGAGAAGCTGGAGCATAAGGTAGCTAAACAGAAAACAGTGATCGGATACTCTCTCATGGGATTAGCAAAGTTGCACTCGAAATTATGGATTGTTCTGCCCCTCAAGTGCTGTTGGCTAACTCTCTGGTTTTCACTGCAGTGGTGGGAAAGGTGGAAGGGAAGAAAAGAAGAGGATGACCAGCAGCAAGGACTCAATAACAATGCTGATGGGTGCAAAGACTTGAACGACCAAGTTAAGGATAGATTGTCATCGATAAAATCCAGTTATGCTGTGCTACGAATCAAAAACAGCTTGATTGCATATAATTAACCAACATATCAAATGATCAATCAATCAATCAATCAAACCTGCCCTGTCAAGTATTGCTGCTGATGTTGTTGTCTTATTGCAGGGAAAGGCAAACTGTGTTGTGGTTCGCTGGCAGCCTGTGCAGACAGCAGCGTAATTGGACAGTGGGGAAGAACAGGGACCAGTCCGGGAGTCTGGAGAGGACTTGGACGAGGGTCTTGCGTCCAATGCAGAGATGGGGCCAGGACCATCTGGGAGTAGGGTGCTGCCTCCGGAGCCTCCAGAGTCTGGCAACAGCGAAGCAGAGGACCCAGGGGAGCCTGTTCCTAGTGCGCATGTGCGCAGAGCTGCTAGAAGGCAAGAGCAGTTGAAACAAAAGGGGCAACTTGGGAGTAAGGCTGCGAGGTGATTGCCCCTCCCACAAGGTATAAAGGACAGGCAAAGATGATGAAACCTTTGCAGGAAGCAAAGTCGTTCATTCGGTTCAGATTCATTCTTGAAGCTTTGTACTTCGGTGGTTTTTTTTCTAGCTCATTGGACACTTCTATTATTGGCAGCACTTCACAGGGAAGAAAGATGGGTGCTTATCTCGAGGGACTGTTTGAGATTCATTATCAACTGAGAATGAAAATAATTCCCAGAATTGCAATAAAACAAGACTTGTTCTTAAAATAAGCGTGTGTGTAATTACGGTCAGAGAAGCCTTGGTCAGAACAAACTGTTTAAAATTGGATGTCACTGGGCAATCTCATTCTATGTTCAAAATATTACAAGAGCTCTTAGCCCTCTCACCCTAAAATTTCATATGATCTTATAGGAATGCCCTGAGATACTGGGAGATTTGGCAGGTGTGCAAGATTCAGATTGTGTGGGTTTTTTCTTTATTCATTTCAATCTGGGGACTCTCTGGATATTAACTGGGGTGCTCCATTTCTGATTCTTATCAACTTGCTGTTTTCACAGACATTTTAATGGAAAATATTCAAATGTTTGTAATGAAACTCTTATGAAAATATGGATCTTTAAATGTTAGAACAGAAAAGGAGGTACAAAGAAAACACAATATTCAACAGCAAAACCTACAAAGACATTGGACTTTTTTATTCAGAGGCTTCTGAACTAGAAGAGAGGGGAAAAAAATTCAGAGTCAGATTCTCTTCAAGGTCCTCAGCCAGCCAGAAAGCAGGAGGGACAACAGCCTGAGCCTCCTTATGACAGTGTACCAAACCTGGATTTGAAAATTTACCTTTTTTCAAAGAATTTTCCCAAGCTATCGGTATTTTTTTTAAATCAATTTCACCCTTGCTTCTTCTGGAGACTTTGCTGCACTATCATTGATGTTTCTTGTCATCCTTAGAAGCTATGTGTACACACACACACACACACACACACGGGTTTGCTGAATCCAGTGATCCATGAATTAACCAAACTTGCTGGGTTCATACAGTAATTTACACCAAGTATTTACACCAAGACAAATTCCTTGTGTGTCCAATCACATTTGGCCAATAAAGTATTCTATTCTATTCTATTCTATTCTATTCTATTCTATTCTATTCTATTCTATTCTATTCTACTCTACTCTACTCTACTCTACTCTACTCTACTCTACTCTACTCTATTCTAAAGCTAAGTCATACAAAAGGAATGCCTAGAACACCCTACCCAACTCCATTGTTACAGCCTCAACCCCTCACAGCTTCAACCTCAACCTATCTACTATGGACCTCACCCCATTCTTAAGAGGTCCTTAAAAAGGGCCGTGCATAAGCACACCAGTGTGCCTACTGTCCTTGTCTTACTGTCCCCATTTATCTGTATTTACTTTCTTTGTTCTTGTTTATATTCATACTTATATCTTGTACATGTTTGACAAATAAATAAACCTAACCAAATTGTGCAACTGATCTGATTAAGAGTCTTTCAAGAACCCAGCCTGAGTCTATTTTGAAAAACAATTGTCTTGACACAGCCCATTATCTTGTAAACAAGGTTTTTGTAAGTAACTGCCCTTACATTACAAAACATCTCCCCCCTGACAATTTGGCAGGTCTCCACTCTTTTAACCTTTGGCATTTTACCCAGACCTGGCTTTTTACCCGGGAGCTGGGATAGAATAGAATAAATGGAATGAAATGTTGGAGCTGGCTGTGCAGTTTCCTAAAACGATGATTATAGCACCAGGGTTTGGTTTTGGTTTTGGTATGTTTTTATATGTATTGGGTTTTACTGCTGTTGGGAGCTGCCTTGTTTAAGATGGGCAGGCATACAAATCTTTTAAATAAGCTCTCTACATGCTTCCCAGGTTGTAAATCTAAAAGTATTTCTGATATGTATAGGTTTCTACTGTAAATCAAGGGAGAAAATTTGCTAGACACAGGATCAAAAAGTAACGTTAATGTGCAAGAAATCATGCATTGCCTATTCTGAATTAAAAACTTTCCCACAGGTATGGGAGGGTTAAATCAGATTCAGCTCTCTGGAAGAAAAAGCAAAATGTTCAGAATGATCTCTCCACCCCCAACTCAATTTTAATTCCCTTCAACTCCACAAAATTTATCAACAATCTTTATCTCAGTTATTCAGAAGTTATTACTTTAATCAGGGATAAGCAACCTGGAGCTCATGTCGGTGCTTTTCAGGACTCCTGCTCTATTTGATCTTTTAAAAGAGAAATGGAGATTTATTGTGGCAGATAATCCAGCTTTTCCTAATTTGCTCACTGCAAATGTATTAGGGAGTAATTCCCAATTTTTGTTGTTCATACATTTAAATTGTTTTAACATTGTTTTCATTTTCCAGAGTTGCAAGGAACACAGGTGGCCTTATATATTTAATACGTTAATAATCCCACGCTAGCAAATGAATTCTGAATCAGGAAAGTGATGATTCTATAAGTAACTTGGCAACTGCAAGTTCCAGCAGTTTTCTTGGTAAGGTTTTCAGAGCTGGTTTTCCCTTCCCAACTTCTTCCTAGGGCTGAGTTTCTAGCCTGATATCATTGTTGGGTATATGAATACTCCAACTGGTTTGGGTTGAATAAATATGTAAACCTAGGATTAAGTGCTATGTAGCTTTAAGCACAAGAAACTGCAATGTCATTGTGGGTGCGGTTGCAGGCAGCCATATAGGTAGGAGGGGAAACGTAATAGCCCCGGCTTCTGGATGCAACTGTTTGAGTCCGGCTTCTGCATGCACCTGGTTACTGTTCCTGGTCTGCTGCCTACTGTTCTAGAAAGTCTATCTGCTTACCTTGGAGGCTACTGTGCCAGATACCATTTCACCTGAACACAAGGACTGTTTACTGGTGAGCTGTGGATTCAGCGTTAGTACTTGAGAGAAAGGTATCTTAAGAAGAAGATTTACAAGCAGATAAGAACATTCTATTTACTGTAAATGGACTTGATAACTGGATTGATAAACTGGATACTGACATATGGACTGAATGACTATTCTTAATCTCTGTATGAATTAAATACCTATTTAAACCACAAACAGTGTATTTGTCTCAAGTGTGTGTATACTCCTGGGCCCAGCCTCTCTCTCATTTGGCTGCCTGGCTTGACTGCTGCTGTGCACTCAGCTCAGGGGTTTATCCCCAAACACTAACAATCATAACCAATACCCCAAGCTGGCTCTCCTGTAAGTAATGTGAACAATACACAGGAAATTCCCTTGTGGGCAAACTATGATGAATTCAGGCCTGGTCAACAAGGCAAGTGCCCCAAATTAATCACCTTCTACCCACTCTATGTAAAATCAAGTGATAGCATTTATTCCACCTTCTGATGAATTCCTCCCTCTTAATTCTGCTTCATAGATCACTGCCAGTGGGATGTAACACTATCACAGGTAGATTATCTGGCAATGTTAGAAAGATGCTTTCTAAAGCAATAGTTTGAAGCAGAGACTGAAATGCTTAGAAGGAGATTTTTCAGCATTTTCTTGCCATGTTTCATGTGTTGATCTCACTCCCTTTTGTGATTTGACAACTTCCATTAAGGTCTATTCCAGTATCAATATCAGCACTGCTACATCTGTTAATGCTATGTACTTGCAGCCAACACAAGCAACAAGCCAACAGGAAGAAAAAGAAATTATTGATGAATTAAAATTATTTAAATTAGAGGTTCATTAAAAAAATATTAAAATTACATGATTTTAAAGGCTGTCTTAAAAGAAGCATTTTCCTCCTTTCTGATATATAGGAAAGAGTGCCTCTTCTTGGATGAAGCACTTCCCTTACATCAGAGACTATGCATCTTAAGTGTGGCATTTTCACTTCCTTCTACTTTCCACAGGAAGGAATGTTTTTATTAAATGGGAAAAAGACACCAGCTTTATATCACACCAACCAGATGTGTTTTATAGATTCCAACATCCTACCCTATCTGCTCTCTAGCTTTAGAAATTCATAAGCATTGCAGACTGACAATTGAAAACTCACCTTTTTCTGTCTTTATTTTTTTCTTTCCTTTTGCTCTTGGGACTTCTGGATCTACAAGAGAACAGGAAACAAAATGTTCAGGAGAAGGAGGAAGAAAGAAGAGAGAGCACCCGTGGGGTAAAACAAAGAGAAGGAACAGCCTCTTGGTTGGGCCTATTAAGTAATTTGCAGATAGTCTCACCGCCCTGGCATCTTCTTTTTCTTCATTTAACAAATGCCCCCATCTCCCCTCTCCCATCTTATTTTTATCCTAATCCCAACCCTTATGAAACCTCACTTCTTTTTGCTCTGCATATGCAGACCTTTTATATTACTAAAATGAAAGGGGATGTGGGTAGTGTCAGGGAAGGCTGTGTGGGTACAATATGTGGCATGCAATTATTCTATTATGGTTAGGTTGCTGTGGAGCTATATTACTCTGGATTTTTTATTGGGATATCAAGATCATATTTCTTGATGAGTTGCTATCACATCACCTGAAGAGGTATTTCTGCCAAGTGAAGCAGTTTTCTCACTGCTACCAAGCTTTTCAACTTTTCACTCAATATGATAGCTGACCCACAGCCAGTGGTGTGCTAGTGCTGGCTTGTGTCTGTTCACGAGAGCCAATTATTGAATTTTGGGGAATTTTGCAAGGTGGTTGGTTGAAAGTAGAGCTGAGCTAGGACACCTAGTGAACTGCATATCCCCAGACATGGAGCTGGCAGAATTGGTTGTTATACACTTATCAGCATAGCACTGCTTACAGTTATAAAGCTATCTTTGCTATAGTCTCTAGCCCATTTCAAAACAATCTGTATGAATATGCCAGGCTGTTTTTAAGCCCATCACAGGAAAAAGGGTCAAATAATTAAGTTTAAATTAATATTTTCTTCAAACTGCAAGTCAATTTATTGTCTATCTTACTCGCTATAAAGCAGACAGTAGCATATACTTGACCTTGGCTAAATTCAAAAACTAAACAGGATTAAAGCTGGTCAACACTTGAACAGGATACCAGCAGAGTGAAAAAGCCTCAAAGAGGAAGGCACTGGCTAATCTTCCTGGTGTTATTGCCAAGAATATATGGTTCTTCCATGTAATCACCAGGAATCAGGCTTGATTAGGGCCAGAGTTAACTTCTATGTACAAAGAAAGGAAAGGGGTGCTAGCCTTGGAATGCAAAGCAGTGAAAAACAGAAGGGGGAGAAAGCTACAGCGTTTGCCCTCACCTGTGCCTCCTCTTCTTATGAGATCCAGATCCAGACCTGACAGGCAACCAACCAGAGGAAAACCAATGGGAAGGAAAGGGAGAGGGATACATTGTTTGAAACAGAGGATTAATAGCACAACCAAATATTAACTGGAATGTTCAAAGGCTTTTTTTCTTTGACCTCACCCCCTTCCTAAGAGGTCTGTAGGGGGCGTGCATAAGCGCACCAATTGAGCCTACCATCCCCGTCCTATTGTTTTTTTATTTTTCTTATAAGTATCTATCTCATGTATTCAAAACTATATTTATTCTTATACCTGTATCTTGTAAGCAATTGACAAATCAAATAAAATCTAAATGTAAATATGACAATATTGTATGACAAAACTGGAATCCAAGGTAGAGACAGTGTAAGTGTGTTGACACTGACTCCTAATGACTGAAATTTTGACAGGAAACTTTAGTCTTCACTCAGAAGGGTGTACATTTAATTGTGTTATATAACTATTTCTCTGTGTTTGTGTGTGTAGGGGGTGAATGTGTGGGGTAAGAGAGAGAGAAAGAGAGAGGAAAGGGGGGAGGGAGGGATGGAGGGAGGAAGGAAGGAAATTGTACACACCATGGAGATTCTCAGTCATATTATCCCACAGACGCTTTTTCAAAAGGCAACTGGACTTCGCTTTTTTCCTTGAAGACACTTCATTTCTCATCCAAGAAGCTTCTGAAGAAGGTTTTGAAGAACATCTTGGATGGGAAGCAAAACATCTTCAAAAAAACTCAACAACAACCCAAAAACAAAGTCTAGTTGCCTTTTGAAAAAGCACCTTTGACAGAGTGGTCATTTGTTTCCCTAATATTACCAACCCTTCAATCTATTCCTGCTGTAAGTTAATGCATCTTCTAAAGATACTGTCCCAAACTGTTAGGGAAGGCTCCCGTCAGGAGCTTTTCAGAGTTTTTGGTATCAGTGGATCCTTTAGCTGTTGGGAGGCTAAATCAATATCTTTTTCCTTAATGGATTTGCTCCAGAATTGAGTTGCAGCATTTCTTCAAAACAGGAAGACATCATTTTTTCCAGTGAGTCCTTCATGTATACAGTATTTTTCTATACTCAACATTGTATAAAAGTTCTTGTGTATAGTTTAGTTGTGTATAAGTGTCTATGTACATTTGTATATACACACTCATATACAAGCACAGAGTCATTCTCTAAATTCCATCACATGACCAAGAAACTAAATCCAAAGTGTGAATATTAAAAAGGGAATATTTTGACAATCTGCTCTGAAACCTAAATCTTATGAGTGCCATAAAAGCATTTAAAAAAACATAAAAGTATAAAACATGTAAAGGTGCCCCTTGGCTTATGAATATACATTTAGTTGTCAAGATTCTGACCGCATTGAAAAAAGTGACTTATGACTTGTCCTTATACTTCTGACAATCGCCGCGTCCTCACAGTCACATGATTGTGATTCGGGCACTTGGCAACTGATATGCATTTATGACAGTTGCAGAATCCGTGTGTGTGTGTGTGTGTGTGTGTGTGTGTGTGTGTGTGTGTGTGACATGATCACAATTTGTGATATTCTCAGCCAGCTTCCAACAAGCAAAGTCAACGGAGGAAGTGGGATCATGGTAAAAAAAAAATTACCAGATGTGGTCGCATGATAACCCAATGACCACATGGCTTAGTGACTGAAGTTCCAGTCCCAATTGTGGTCATAAGTCAAGGACTACCTGTACCATAATTTGAATTGGAGTGAATTTTGGTTTTTTTAGTGCAGTCTGTGGCAGCCAAAGATCAGAAGTCCTTTTATTTTCACATTAATAAATTTCATTAGAAGGCATAAATTTTCATGATTTACAGCACAATGCGTCAGATGCAGAGTGGCTAAACTGCTGTAGTTTTTACACTGGGTTAGTGGAGAAAGCAGAAGAGAGGGCTGTTGTACAGATGCATGTTGCACATTAGACAGTCAGGTTACCAATATATTATATGATAAATTCAGGTGTTTTTTTTTAAAGTTTAAGAAGAAAGACAACAACCTTCTTTGTAAGATTTATAAAGTGCAAACAATTCTATCCATATCCAAGCCTGACAAAGTTCTTTCAAACCAAGATGAATGCTTGCTAATATGGCTAAATTGGAAATCTGTTCTCAAAAACACGCAGTTTAAATGAGACAGACTTATTTTGACTGCTTAATCCCTAATGGTATACCATCTCTTGAGTAACTCAATAAACTGATCCATTTAGCCCAGTTTCTCTATATCAACAATTTTCCTAAGTTTGGATTTTAATTTGCAGACTTCTCTAGCCAGCTGAGAAATTCTGGGAGTGGAAGTCCACACATAAAATGGCTGACATTAAAAATTCTAGGCTAGGCCAATGTTTCCTTTGCTCTCCTCAATCTTGCTTGAAGAACAAACTGTACCTGTTGGCTACGTTCCTTTTAACTGGAGATACATGAAAATGCCCTTAGCCA